TGGGGCGTCTGTCCTGTGCTCAGGAAAGCGGCTGGTACAGAAGGGACCCCTGCAGACCCCCACCTTCTCACACACCGGAGGGAGTGAGGAGAGCCCTGGGCAGGGAGAGGGGCTGGAAACCAGCCTGGTGAGTGGTTCTGTGCACAGGGTCCCACTCAAGACCCCCGAGGGGGCAGGGCTGGAGCTGTTGACTCATCCCCCCGCGACTCCCCCTTCTGGGCAGGGTGTGGGATCATCCATGGCCTCTGAGCTCAGGGTCCAGTCTGCCTGGCCCCTCCCCCCCACGTCCTTCCCCACCCCCCCTCCCCCCATGACTCTGGATTTCTGCAGCTTAAAGGCTTAAGTGTGACCTTGGAACCCACATGTGCCTGGCGTGAGTCCCCCTCCTATGCGTTTCTGCCCGTGGGGTCCCCCCTCCCATGTGTCTGACCATGGGGTCCCCCCTCCCGTGTGTGCCTGACCGTGGGGTGCCCCCCTCCTGGCGAGGGGTTGGGCAGGCAGGGCAGGTGGCTTGCCAGCTTCGTGCCTTGAACGAAGGTTCAAGGGTCACACCTCCATCGGACGGCAACCTGGTGGCAGGTGCGGCAGGGTGCCCCGAGGTGGGGCCGCGTGCCCAGGTCAGCGGCTGCAGCAGAGGGAGGCCCAGCTGCTTGACGACAGAGGTGGGGGGGGACAGTCGCGGTACCTCGACCTCCCATCCAAGTTTCTTGGGGCCGGTTCTGGAGAGGTGGCCGGTGGCCCCTGCGAGGATGGCAGCCTGGCACCAGGTGGCGCTAGGAGCAGGGGACAGCCTGGACCCGGGTCCCATGAGGAGCTGAGTCTATCCTGTGCAGCCAGGTCTGGGCTGCATTAGAGGTGGACCCTGAGCCCGAGGTGGCCCAGGGAGTCCTAGTCTGTGTGGCGGGTGCCTTGGGGTCTTGCTTCCTCCTCTCAGCCTCGTCTGGGTCGTTTAATGACAGCCTTGTGTGTTATGGAGGTGTCTGGAGGCTGGGCCCGGCACGGAGGCCAGGGGTCAGTGGACACGGCAGATGGTAGCTCTTGCCTGCAGGCTGACTTTGCAGACAGACTGGGCTGATCCCGCTGTCCCTACCATGGACAAAGCCGTCCCTCATAGCCACGTCCCTGCCCCGCCAGCAGCCCCGGGATGTCCTCGCAGCCCGAAACAGCATTGCTTTATGCTAACTCCACAAGCATCCCCGGGGTCACAGGGATCACAGGCCCTCAGGAACACCTGGGGACTTGCAGCGCTCTTGAATTTTCATGGCCACGATGCCTCTTGATTGTCGCCGCAGTGTCCTAGACACAAACATTTTTTCTCCTGGAAATGAGATCCCGGCTGCAGACTGCTGGCCGGCACCTCTGTTTCTAATTCTCCTTCTCGGAGCCCAAATGCCTGGAAGCTGCCCTTGAATTGATCAGAGCAGTTTGATAGACAGAGAGGGGAAACAGAGAAAGGGCAGAGTTTCGACTGCATTCGAGGCTGCATGTTTCAAAGTGGGAATGTGTGTGTGTGTGTGTGTGTGTGTGTGTGTGTGTGTGCATGTGTGTGTGTGGTGGGGGTCGGTGGCCGTCTCTGAAAAGCTGATGTTTTCTGTGTCTTGTTGGGAGACTGATCTTTAAGGAAGAGGAAAGTTTTCCCTATAAAGCAGAAGCACTTTTCAGAATGTTGCGCCCAATTGTATGCACAGAGAAGAGTGTTTTGGCTTGTTTTCTTTTTTTTCCCCTGGACGTTTATCTACAAGCAAGCATCCAGCTCTTGCCAGGAGCGAAATGCCTTTGAGGTACTTCAGGGGCTTGCAGGCGTCACATAAGCACTCTCCTAGGTGGAGATGGTACAGATGATGACTTTTATTAGTATCATAGCGTGGTCTATTCAGTTGGCTAATTAGGGATGGGGGCTGGGGACGCACCCAGGGGCTTTCCTAAGAGCCCTGTCCCCAGCTCGTAGGTCTAACAAAGACCGACAATGCAGCTCCAGGCGAGGTGCTGAGAGCACCATGTAGCACAGAGTGGTCTCCACATTCCAGAAGCTTCTGATGCCTCAGTGCAGGGGTTAGGAGCAGGCGACGGTGGAGCTGGGGGAGTGGATGGGGAAGTGACAGTCACAGAGGCCATTCCCACGGGCCACTGAAGGAGTCTGTGCCCTCTGCCCTTGCCCCTCCCTGCTGCCTCGGGCCTCTGTTGCAGACCTTGTCAGAGCCTTCCCCCAGTGCTGGTTTTCCCAGCCTGGCTCTGCTGAGGGGTACACGGCGGGGGCATCCGTGAGCCAGCGGCACTGTCACCTCTGCCCTGAGATGCTCCTTGACCTTCCCCTGCGGCGGAAGCACCCGGCTGGGCTGAGAGGCGGAAAAAAGCTGTGGAACTTTGCAGTTCAGGACTTGTGTCCCTGCAGGGGACAGTGCCAGGAATGAGGGGCCTCCCAGCGGTGACCCAGGGGCCACTCCCAGGGACCCTCAGCCACCCAGGTTGATGATTCTAAGCAAGGGCCCGAGGATGTGGTGCTGCCCAGGCCCAGTGGGGCTTGGCGGCCTCTGGACCCACAGCTGGGGGTGCTTGAGGCGGGGGCAGGAGTCACTGCAATGCTGGAGATTGAACTCGGGTCCTTGTGCAGCCCGCCTGCACCCTCTACCCCAGAGCTGACTCCTTTAGCTTCTCTGTCCTAGGATTCCAGTGGAGCAGAGAGGAGGGAGGAATATTCTAGAATCCTGGGAAGGCTTCTCGTTTTGACTTTTTGATGATTTGTTCTTCTTACTGCTTTTGTTGTGGGCATACCTCCAGCAGTGCTGGGACAGCGACCAAGTTCCAGGCGAGAACCAGGGCCTCAGCCTTCCCGGGGGCAGGGGGCGGGGAGGTGGGTGGTCACATTCAGTACCCGTGGGCCGCACCCTGGCCCGTGGGGGAGGACAAGCTTCTCAGCTCTCCACAGTTTGAAATGGTCTAAAAGCCACACGTGATGGAGCAGCCTCAATACTTTGCAGGCCAGGAGACTGAGTCACGGAGGCCCCGCCCTGTTGGCAGTCTCATGACCTCAGAGTGGGCTGGGCGTGAGCCCCTGTCTGTCCACAGCTGTCTGTCTGTCTATCCAGATCTGTCTGTCCAGATCTATCTGTAACTGCCTGTGGGGCTCCTGCCAGCGTGTGCAGAACCCTTCCGACCATGCCGGCCTCCATCTCCAAGTCTCCTCTTTGGGTCTTTTCAACTTTTTCCTGTTTCTTTTGACTTGTTAGTAAAAGGCAAAAGGTTTCCATGCAACTTTGGTCCATCTACGCACTGGAATACTATGCAGCTGTTAGGAAGAATGAAGTCATGAAATTTGCTTATAAGTGGATGGTCATGGAGAGTATCATGCTAAGGGAAAGGAGTCGGAAAAAGAGGGACAGACATAGAAGGACGGCACTCATTTGTGGAATATAAAATGTCGTAATCAGAGACTGACACTCAAGGACAGTAGAGACAAGGGCCAGGAATATTGCCCCATAGTTGGCAGCCTGCCTCGTGAGCTGGGGGAGAAGGCAGCTGGGATAGAAAAGGGATCACTAAGTCAGTGATGGTTGGAGGGATCGTTCGGGATGGAGATGTGTGCTGAAAGTAGATAAAGGACCAAACGTGATGGCCTCTCAGTAGCAAACCATGATGCCCAAAAGTAGAGAGAGAGAGAGTATGGGGAAAATTGTCTGCCATGGAGGTAGGGGGAGGGTTGGAAACAGGGGTTATACTGGGGACATTGATGGTCAGTAATGATGGAGGGTATTTGCTTATTGTATGACTGAAACTCAAACATAAAAGCTTGTAACTGTATCTCACAGTGATTCAATTTAAAAAAAATCACAAAAGGTATTTTGTGATGCTCTCATGAGAAACCCAAGTTGTTTTTCCTTTGCATTTGGTAGCAGCTTTGTTGAGATACCAGCACGCACCATACAAGTCCAGCCGCTGACCCGTCCAGTGCAGGGCCAGGAAGAAAGCCCAGTGGACTGAGCGCAGCTCTGTGTGTGGGAACCCTGGGCTCCATCCCCGCCCGACACAGTCCCCAGAGCCCCTGGGAGCAGCCCGAGCACTCAGCCAAAAACAGCATCAACAGACCCCTCAGAAAAGAAACTAAACATTGAAAAAGTACTGTTCAGTGACTCTTGACAGCCAGAATTCTGCAAGGTGCAGCACAACTTCAGGACATTTTATTAGCTCGTAAGAAACCCTGCACCCCGTTAGTGGTACAGACCCCATCCTCCACACGCAGTCCCCCAGGCCTGAAATCCACGGCCCACCTGTCTTTCCAGACCTCTCTTTTCCAGAAGTTTGATGTTCCCGGAGCTGCGGAACCACACCGGGTCTTTACTTTCCAGCTTCTTTCACACGTGTGGTTTGGGGGTTCCAGCCCCCGAAGTGGGGAGCACGTTCCGGCATGGCCGGACCATGATATTTTTCACAGTCACCAGCCAGTGGGACATTGGGGTGTTGCTCGTGTTGATGGCAGTGAACGAGGCCACTGAACATTTGTGTGCAAGGTTCCCGTAACTCGTCCGGGTCTCTGGTGTGGCTCTCTGGGTTCAGAGCAGGCAGGGCCGTAGGGGCAGGCGGGCACCCCTGGGTTCCAACTGTCTGGGACTCGAGCCCCCATACAGCCCACAGCTATGTCTGGGGCTCCCGTGTCTGACATTTGAAATGCGCGTCTTTCCAAGGCTGGCCTTTGACAGAGCGAGGGTAGAGTGTTTTGTGCTTTACACATATTTTTTGACTGGAGGGTGGAATCCAGGGCTTCATACCTACCAGGCACGTTCAACTGCCCCATAGCTCTGACCTTCAAAGGCTGCTCTCGGCCTGGTGTCTGAGGGTCACTCATGGGTGCGTCCCACCATCAAGGGCGGGATGGGCTTTGAACCTGCCTCTAGGGGATGGCGGCTAGGTATACTGAGGGCGATGAGCCCCCTTGCAGCCATCGAGCTGGGTGTGCTGGGGCAGTGAGCCTCCCTAAAAGCTCCCCCTGCCGTCTTATCTTGCAGCCATCCACGAGTTCCCCACGGACCTGTTCTCCAACAGAGAGCGCCAGCACGGAGCTGTCCTGCTGCACATTCTCGGGGTGAGTGGTCTTGGGGGGCCCCTAAGCCACCAGCTGCGGTCATAGGCCAAACAGACGCACGAAGCCACGGGCCTTTCAGCCACTGGGTCATGGGTGTCCCCATGTCCCCTCCCCCACCCCCTCCGATCCAGACACCAAGTCCCTTCCCCCTGAGGGCTGTTCTGCACCTGGGGAGGAAGAGCAGCTGCTTCTGTCCCGGACACAGGTCCAAGTGACAGAGACACCTGCTGTCCCCTTCCCCACCAAGTCCCCAGACCTCACACTCCGGGGCGCACTCCTCTGCCTCTAATGAACTTCAAAAGGGCCTGGATGACGGGGGTGCACGTGTGTGGTAGGCTCTGCCGACCCTGTGTTCGGGACCGGGGCTCCTCCCAGCACATACATTGCCATAGCGACATCATTTCCGTGGAGTCCACGATGCTTCCAAGGTCCAGGGATGATGGGGCCGGAGTGATAGTCCAGCAGGAAGGGCACTTGCCTTGCATGCGGCCGACCTGGGTTCAATCCCAGCATCCCATAGGGTCCCCCATGCACCACCAGGAGTAATTCCTGAGTGCAGAGCCAGGAGTAAGCCCTGAGCATGGCTGGGTGTGACCCCAAAAGGAAAAAAAAACCCACAAAACAAAACAAAACAAAAAAAAACAGAAACAAACAAACAAAAAATGTCAAGAGATGGCGACCGAGGGGCCATGGCTTCAGAGGCAGACCGGTCCCCTCTCTGGGTCCCACGTCCTCATACTGGGATCCTGCTCACACATGCCCCCCGCCCCCCCATGTGCGTTCCCCTTCACCTGCCACCACATGCTGCCATTCCCAAGCCCAAATGTCTTTAGGCGTTGCAGGAGAGAGGGAAGAAGGGAGAGCAAGGAGCATCCCGCACGCAGGGGCCGAGAGTCGAGGGCCAGGGCCGTTTTCCTGAAAAGGACGGATGGTCTGTTCATGCAAGTAGACCGGGGTGCCGACCCACCTGGGTGTTAGCGTGATGATGGCGTCACCGGTCTCTGCCTTCTCCTGCTCTCCTGAGCCGCCTTCTAGCCTCAGGGAAGTGAATCTGGCCAACTAGTCCCCTCATTCTACTAACTAGTCCTCTGCATCTGCTCACGAACCCCTTTATTCTGCTAACTAGCTAGCTCATTCTGATAACTAGTCCTCTTAACCTGTTAACTAGTCCCCTTGTTCTGCTAACTAGTCCCCCTTGTTCTGCTAACTAGTCCTCTTGTTCTACTAACTAGTCTGCTCACCTAGCTAACTCATACTCCTGTTCTGCTAACTAGTCCTCTCTGCTAACCAGTACCCACATCCTACTATCTAGTCCCCTAATTCTGCCAACTAGTCCTCTTGGTCTGCTAACTAGTCCCCATGTTCTGCTAACTAACCCCCTCCAAGCAGGTCTCAGCACCTCAGAGACATATCTATTTTTCCTGAGTCCCAGGAATTTTGCACCATTTAGAGCAGGTGAAGGGACCCGATGGCCTGCCTCCTGCTTATAAATCAAGTTGGGTTGAAACCAAGCCAGGCACAGCCCTGGACGGCTTCTGTTCAATGGCTGTGTGGTCTATGAAGACTTGGGTCCCGGGTAACTGCTCATTAAGGAGTTCACCGACCAGTGCAGGGACAGACTCTAGCCGAGGGACAGATTCCACGGAGGACACAGGGTCCAAGTCTGGCCATGGGAGTGCCATCTTGGTCTTCTTGCTCACGTGATTCTGGGGCTCCAGGACTGGGCAGCACCTCAGACAGACAGCCACAACTGCCGCATCTCTGCTGCCTTTGGTCACTGTTAGTGGTGAGTTGTCTCGGCTGGGCCCTGGTTCCAGCCTTGCTCTTCAGCTTGTCATTAGGGCGTCCATCCCTCTGACAAAGGTGACTCACTTGAGTGTGAATCTCCAGCTCCTTGTCCAGTGTCCTGGTCCTCGCCTCTCCCTTCAACCTCTCATGTTCCCTCTCCCTGCCTCACCCTTGCTCTCTCCTCCTGGCCCTGGGTCCTGACTGTCATCTGCCACAGATAAACTGTGGCCCCAGGATCTTTGCACATGCTGCTTCCCGGGCAGTGACAGAGGTTTCATCTGTTCCCCTCTCGGGTCAATTAGAAAAGGCGTTTTGGGGGTGTCCTCAGCCATTATCTCAGATGACCTTCAGAATAGTACCTGGAAGGGTGGGGGGCGTTGCCCAGCAGTAGAGCACTGGCAGAAAGCCCTAATCGCCATCTCTGGTGCCACAAAACCATTAAAATGGCCCCTGGCAGGCAGGGTGAGCCCAGTAGGGCCTTGGTGGGTGGACAGGGCAAGACAGGGTGGTCTACAAACCATTTCAGACATCTGAGATCCTCTTACTCTGTCACTAAAACGATGGCCAAGCTGAGACCCAGCCATGTGACTGACCCAAGGCGGCCTGGTCCCTGAACCCAGGACCAACCAGCCCTGGGCTTGGGGGTGTCAAGATCGGTGCTTGCTGGCTGGTGTGGGGTGAAGCGGCTGCGTGGAACGTTGGATGGGGCTCCTTCTGCAGCTCTGCCGGCCACTAGTCCCAGCCTCAGTTTCCCCCAAAGTCCTGGAGGGTGTGAGTGTCTGTGGGACTGTGTGTTTTGAGCCGAGGCTCACTGGGCACTGGGCTCTTCGAGCAGGTATGGGGCGGGGGGGGGGGGGGCTCGTGCCTCGTGGCCGCCTGACCCTTGGCGGACACTCTGTCCCCTCCCTGCAGGCCCTGTACATGTTCTACGCCCTGGCCATCGTGTGTGACGACTTCTTCGTCCCGTCTCTCGAGAAGATCTGCGAGGTATGCGGGGAGCGAGGGACCCCCGTGAAGAGGACGCGGGGTGGGCATGTGAAGAGCAGGACCCGATGGGGGGCACTCGTGGTGACCCCAGGCCCTGGGCTTTCCATCTGTGACTGGGGCCAAGGGGCCTCCCGGGACTCGGCAGAAGGGTCCGGCCCAGTCCGCACCCTCAGGGCCCCTCTGGCCAGCCAGTGGGCGGACACACACTCGGGTTGACCTCCTCAGTGACCCCAGAGCCTGGATGTGTCTGGGGGGCTCAGGGCTCATCCCGGCTGTGCTGGGGCTACTTGGGCTACACTGGCTGTATTCGAGGGTCACACCCAACGTGGCTTGGAGTTGTGAGATGCCGAGGTGGAACCGGGGGAACAGCATATGCCAGGCTTGCACCCCAAACCCTTGCCCGCTCCCTGGCCCTGTACCTCCTTGGGGTCAGCAGGCAGAACTTGCCCGGCCAGGCGGGTTCCCAGGGACCCCCATCACCATGGCTTCTCCGAGCCCCCGAGCCCCTAGACCACCTTCTTGATTTGGGGGAGGGGAGGCTCTGTCGCCGGCCAGTCCCAGTCCCAAGCCAGCACCTCTGGGTGCCTCCGGGGAGGTTTGAGGGGTGTCAGCCCTGAGCACCCGGACCCAGCAGGGGCCACCCAGCTCTGCTGTCCTGCCGTGTTCTCGGCTCTGGGGACCCAAACCTGCGCCCGCGGCCGTCCAGGTGTTGGGGTGGGGGTGCGTGTGAGCCCCCTGGACCCCTGCATGCTCCACATTTCAGTTAACAGGCTGAGAGGCCACGTGGCCCTACCCCCCTTCAGGAGGAATGCTGGGGGCTCAGCCACCCTTGGGCTCCCAGCTCTGGGCTGCGCCCTGCAGGGCAGCAGGCGGCCTGTAGGGGGCGCCATGCACCCCTACCCACCCCCTCACAGCCCGTGGTCTCTTCTAGAAACTTCACCTGAGTGAGGACGTGGCCGGAGCCACCTTCATGGCCGCGGGCAGCTCCACCCCCGAGCTGTTCGCCTCCATCATTGGTAAGAGCCCCCCGCAAATTTCCCAGACCCCACTCCTCATAGCCCGGTACCCCAACACACCCAGGGCCCCACACCCCATCTCCCCACACCCCCACACCCTGTACGCCTATAGCCCCCAGCCCCATATCCATAACATCCCCACACCCCACGTCCCCACACCCGACGTTCCCCAGGTACCCCCTCACCCCCCCAACCCCCATATCCCTCAGACCCCCAGGTCCCCGACACCCCCTGTTCCCTCTTAACCCTTAACCCCCCACTCCCCACCCTCACACTCCAGACCCCCACTCCCCCACTGTAATCTCCCACCCCCATTTCCACCCTCACTTCCCGAGGCCCCGGCTCCAGCCCCCGCACTCCCCACTGCGGATTCCCCGTGGCCCTGGGCACCCACACACTCCGTGGCCCCCACAGTCCTCACCCAGTCAAGGCCCAGGATCCCGGGAGCTAATCTGGGCCTTGGGGGCCTCCCTCTTCACTGTAAAGGAGAGTGGGGGAGCAGGAGAGCAAACGAGCCGTTTCCTGGGGGGGGGGGGGGGGGCGGTGTCTTCAGGGCCGAGGAAAAGAGGAAACGTTCTAAACTGAGAGTGGTGATAAGCGCCCCCCTCTGCGATGAGACGGAGAAAGCCCCTCCCCCCCAATCAAGGCCGCTTCCCACGGGCCAGCTGTGGGTGTGGGGGATGGCTTGTGTGCATGTGCACATGTGCGTACATGTGTGTGTATGGTGTGTGCGTAGCATGTGCATGTGTGGTGTGTGTGGTGTGTACATGTGATCTGTGCACGCGTGTGTGTACATGTATGTGTGTGGTGTGTTTGCATGTGTGTACATGCATGTGTGTGCGTGTGTGTTCATATGTGCTTGTGCGTGTGTGCATGCAAACGTGTATGTGTGGTGTGTATGTGTGGTGTATAAGTGTGTGTGTGGTGTGTACGTGTGGGTGGTGTGGGTGGTGTGTGCATGTGTCTGTGTACACGTGTGTGTGTGGTATGTGTGGTGTGTATGTGCGTGTGTGTGGTGTGTGTGCATGTTTGTGTGCATACATGTGTGTGGTGTGTGTGTGTGCATACATGTGTGTGTGATTTCTCAGGATCCTTGGTCCCCGCGGGAGGGCCGGGTCTCCCAACACCCTGCGGATCACTCTGGGGAGGGGATGGTCAAGGTCTGGAGCCCTCAGGCCCTAAGGGTGTCTCCCCCAGGGGTGTTCATCACACACGGCGACGTGGGGGTCGGCACCATCGTGGGCTCGGCTGTCTTCAACATCCTGTGCATCATCGGCGTCTGCGGGCTGTTCGCGGGCCAGGTGGGTGCCTCTGCACGTGCGAGGGGGACCCCAGACCCCTCCTCTGCGCCCCTAGGCCCCCATGGCCGGGAGCGCCTGGTCCTCTCTGCACCCCTTTGGCCGCCACATCCGAGGGCGAGTGAGTTGGGCAGAGTGCTGGAAGCCTGGGCTTCTGGAAACTTCAGGGTCTGCCTTGGGCTTCGGGGGGGGGGGGGGGGGGGCTGAGGCGGGCCTGTGAGGGCCTCACGTCTGGGGGAGGGGGTCAGGCTCCTGGGAGGGCTGTGGAGGTGGAGGTGCTGGCTGGCTCCCCTGAAGCCGAGTCCGATACCTAGGCAGTTACCAAGACGGGCTCCTGTCCAAGAGCTCCCGGCCTCCTGCCAGTTCTTGGTCTTTGGGGGGCGCCAGGCGGGACGGCCATTCCCATGCCTTGATGCCCGTGCTCGGCAGGTGGTGCGCCTGACGTGGTGGGCCGTGTGCCGGGACTCCGTGTACTACACTCTCTCCGTCATCGTGCTCATCGCCGTGAGTGCTCCCCGCCCTCTGGCGTGAGGCTTGGGATCCCTGCAGGGGTGGGGGGTGGGGAACCCAGGGGCTCCTGATGGTGGGTAGCAGTCTCCATGGGCCGGCAGCATAGCCCGGGACAGGGAAGCTCAGAATAGAGGCCAGGGCGTGGGCAACTTGCAGGAAACGTGGGGGCTCGGCGTGGGGGGCTGAGCTCAGGACGCAGGCGCACACAGGGGGCCCCAGGTGCCACGGGGCTCACGGCTGGACTCCCTCTCCCAGTGCCGCCGACATCCCCAAGCTCAATGGTGACATTTGTCATCCCTGCCGCTGCAGACCCAATGGGCGGCTTGGCCCAGTCCTCTGGTGGGCATAGGCATCCCAGGGATTCTGGACACAGGTCCACCAGTGCAGGTGGCCATTGGCCGACCCAGGTTGTCTGGACTCAGTGGTATTCCTTAGTGTTTTCCACACAGCAGGGGGCCCCCATGTGGGGGCTGGGGGAGAGGTGACCCCTCACTCCCAAGACCTTGCGTGTCCGTCCCCACATTATCTGGAGCGAGGCTGAGGGTTTGGGCCACTTCCGGGGTGGGAAGGTCAGGATGCCAGAACTCCCAGGTACACATGTGGCCGGGCCCAGCTGGCATGGCCATGGGAAGATCACTCATGCAGAAGGGACACGGCTGCCCCTGCAAGTATCTGGGCCCCAGTGAAGGCCTTGCTGGCACCTCCAGGAGCTGTGTGGGGCCAACATGCACCAGTTTGGACAGATGCCGGGGAGGCCCCGGACCCCGGGAGGGGTTCCGGCAGGCACTGGCCCAGCTCTCCAGGGTGATAAAATGACTCCCTGTCACAATCAGCGTAGAGACAGGACCGGGGCTCGCCCCTTTGTTGGCTGGACCTCCAAAGTACCGAATCCCCATCAATCCGTGCTGTGCACGAGACCAAGTGCTCCCCTGAGCACTCGAGTCTTCAGCCCAGACTCCCCTCGTGGGGGAAGGACTCCCAGGCTGCTCACAGCTTCTGGGCCTCTGAGGTTGCTGGCTCCCTGAGGGTTTTGTAAAAATGCAGAGTGTCCCGTGTGCCACCACCTCCCCTCCACCCCCCCAGCGATGGTATTGGGCTCCGCTCTGCCTAGAGTCTGAGGTCCCCTCTAGTATGCCCAGCTAGGACCACCCTGGCTGCGGTCCCCAAAGCAGCTCCCGTGACAGCCAGCAGGGGGCGCACCGCATCCTCGGCCAGACAGCACCCTGCCCCGGTGTCTCCTTAGGGACCCTGACCCAGATCAGATTGGGCCAGGCCGAGCTGGGCACAGAGGCCTCCTCTGACACACTCATCAATCTGTGTCTTGTGTGTAAGAGGCAGGGGTACCGGGAAGGAAGTCACAGATTCATAAACATGTCCATCGATACTTTATAGGTAATGCTTTTGTGCGTGAGTATATACTTATGTGTATAAGCACGCACGTGGGTAGATATATATGTATGTAGCACTGTCCTCCCATTGTTCATTGATTTGCTCGAGAAGGCACCAGTAATATCTCCATTGTGAGACTTGTTGTTACTGTTTTTGGCATATCGAATATACCACGGGGAGCTTGCCAGGCTTTGCCAGGCGGGCAGGATACTCTTGGTAGCTTGCTGGGCTCTCCGAGAGGGACAGAGGAATTGAACCTGGTTCGGCTGCATGCAAGGCAAACGCCCCACCTGCTGGACTATCACTCCAGCCCATATATATATATAATATATCACTGATCACTGTCCTCCCGTTGTTCATCGATTTTCTCGAGCGGGCCCAGTAACGTCTCCATGGGAGACTTTGTTGTTACTGTGTTTGGCATATTGAATACATCACGAGTAGCTAGGACTGGAGCAATAGCACAACGGGTAGGGCATTTGCCTTGCAAGCGGCCAACATGGCCAACCCGGGTTCGATTCCTCAGCCCCTCTCGGAGAGCCTGGCAAGCTACCGAGAGTATCTCGCCCACACGGCAGAGCCTGGCAAGCTCCCCGTGACGTATTCGATATGCCAAACACAGTAACAACAAAGTCTCCAATGGAGACATTACTGGGCCTGCTCGAGCAAATCGATGAACAACGGGAGGACAGTGACAGTGACAGTGACACGGGGAGCTTGCCAGGCTCTGCCGTGCGGGTGAGATACTCTCGGTAGCTTGCTGGGCTCTCCGAGAGGGACGGAGGAATCGAACTCGGGTCGGCCATGTTGGCTGCGTGCAAGGCAAACACCTACCGCTGTGCTATTGCTCCAACCCATATAATATATATATATATATATATATATATATATATATCGATTTGCTCGAGCGGGCCCAGTAACGTCTCCATCGTGAGACTTGTTGTTACTGTGTTTGGCATATCAAATACATCACGGGTGGCTTGGCAGGCTCTGCCGTGCGGGCGAGATACTCTTGGTAGCTTGCCGGGCTCTCCAAGAGGGGCGGAGGAATCGAACTTGGGTCAGCCATATTGGCTGCGTGCAAGGCAAACGCCCTACCGCTGTGCTATCGCTCAATATATGTGTACATATATACACACATATATATGTATGTATGTATGGACTCATATACATAATGTACATACATAGGTAGACCCACACATTTATAGGTAGTTCCATAGGTATGTGCACAGAACACGTACATATGGGCATATATAACAGCATATACATACCTGTATGGAATGATAGCACAGCGGTAGGGCGTTTACCTTGCATGTGGCCGACCAGGCTGACCCAGGTTTGATTCCTTCGCCCCTCTCGGAGAGCCCAGCAAGCTACCAAGAGTATCTCGCCCGCATGGCAAAGCCTGGCAAGCTCCCCATGACGTACTCGATATGCCAAACACAGTAACAACAAGTCTCATAATGGAGACATTACTGGGCCCGCTCGAGCAAATCGATGAACAACAGGAGGACAGTGACAGTGACGATACATATCTGTATTGGATCGGTAGAGCTATGAATACACCCATGGAAACTTTCATAGATACAAAGTACTTAAGTCCATCCATATATACGTGAGGCCCCAGAGGGGTTAGCAGGTGGCTGTGTGGACCCCAGGAGCCCCTGAGACTCCCGGAGGCTGGGACATCTCTCCTGGGGGGGGCCGCACTGGCTGGGCAACTAGCCTGCTCCTGGCTGGTCCAGGTTGCCATGAGGGCAGCAGAGAGGAGGATGACCACTAAACACAGGCATCGGGCCGTGCTCGGAGAGATTTTGCTCTTTTCTTGCAGTAAACGCGTTCCTCTCCCTGTGTTTCTTTTGCTTTTCAGTTTATATACGACGAAGAAATTGTGTGGTAAGTTTGAAAAGTTTGTTTCTTACTGCTGGGACCCAGCTCGGCTGGGATCATGACTCGTGAGCGTCTGTTGTTGTAGCCAGAAGCGTTGGGACCTGTGGAGGCATAAAAGGGAGCTGGTCCTTAGCTAAGATCACACCTCCTTCTGTCCCTGTAACATGAAGAGGGTGGTTCCCTTCACTGTCCTTCACCTGCCTGATTGCATCATAGTGCTCAGCTAGCAAGGGGCCGTTGGAGCTTGGTTTGGGCGTAAACGGTCCCCAGAACCTGGTCGGGGGCTGGTATGAGACTAGGGCAGATGACAGGTGTCCCAGACTAACCTCGGGAGGTGTCTCAGCTACAGTCAGGTCAGAACAAAGATCCTGCCCTCCCCGGCACAGAAACCAACACCAGCTGCATTAAAACTCTCCCAGCCAGGGGCTGGAGCGATGGCACAGCCGGTAGGGCGTTTGCCTTACACGCAGCCAACATGGCCGACACAGGTTCGATTCCCAGCATCCCATATGGTCCCCCGAGCACTGCCAGGAGTAATTCCTGAGTGCATGAGCCATGAGTAACCGCTGATCATCGCCGGTTATGACCCAAAATGCAATAAATAAATAAATTAATTAATTAAAAAACTCTCACGGCCAGACGCGAAATTTGTCAGATAATGCAGAGCCAAATGTAGGGTCTCCCCCTGAAGACACTGGGTAGGAACTGATTTTCAAGAACCAGGACGTACAGCCCGAGGAGGTGATTCCAAGCATCCCGCGGCCCCTGAGCCAGGCCCCAGCAAGGTGTGACCCCCGGTACCCCACAGGGTGTTGCCTTGGTGGTTTCTGAGCCTCTCCAGGATGGCCCTTGGGTGGGAAGATCCACATGAAGCCCCAACCCCCCTGAGAAAGCCGCTCTTCACACTCCTCACCGTGTGTGCCACGTGGCACTCCACCCCAGGGACTGGTTTTCAACTGTACATAAAATTGGGGGGTGCAAGGGTCTCCCCATCCAGGGTCCCTCTGTGGATCTGCTGGTCCCGGCTGCGTTTCATTGGTTTTTGTTTGGGGGATCACACCCAGCAATGCTCAGGGGTTACTCAGCACTCAAGAATCACTCCCAGCAGTGCTCCAGGGACCAGGGGGGATGCCAGGGATGGTACCCGGGTTGGCTGCATGCACGGCAAGCACCCTCCCCTCTGTGCTGTTTCTCTGGCCCCTGGTCCTGCCTCTGGACTCAGCCGAGAAACACCCCAAGTGCCCACAGCCCAGGCAGGCGCCTCCTCGGCCAAATGGACAGAAACCCCTTGGTGATGGGTCCCTCCTTCCAGAAGCATCCCTGCTCTGTAGCTCCCAGAAGCCACCTGTGGGCACCCACAGTGCCACAGACCCCTGAGTGAGAATCTCAGGTGACCCGAGGGCCTCAGGGCCCATCTGCATCACTTGAGACCCCTTCTCTGCCTGGCTCCCGGGCCAAGGGGAGTCCCTGACCCCCTTTATCCCAGGGTACCGAGGATGCCCTGTGGAATGCCCCCATCAGCCTCCGTGTCCCCGAGAGACGGCAGGGGCCGGGAGGGTGGGCCCGCCCTGTGCTCTGACGGCTGTTTCCTGTGTCTCTTTGAGGTGGGAAGGCCTGGTGCTCATCGTCCTGTATGTCTTCTATATCCTCATCATGAAGTAAGTGAGCTGCTACCCTGCCCAGCCGCGGCTCCCACAGGCAGGCAGAACCCCCAGCCAGCCGCCCCATCTGGGCAGTCTGAGTGGGGGAGGGAGGGAGCTATCATACACAGTTTTGGGGTACGATCCACACTCAGGCTGGGGGCCTCCCACTGTGGGTGGGTGACTGGCAGGTGAAAGGTGAGAGCTCCCCATTTCCTGCTGCAGTTCTGGGGCCCAAAGGGACCCCACTCTCCCCATCTGTAGAGCTACACAGATCCTTCTCAGGGAAATGCAGGCAGGGCTCAGGGCTGGGGTGCTAGCTGGAAAAAACCCATGGAACGATCTGTGTTCCAGAATATTCCAGCACATTCTGGCACATTCCATCATGGGTGGACTCAAAAAAAAATGGCTGAGTGAATGTCCACAAATATCAACTGCACCATGGGGGGCACTCAGGAGCACACGGGCTCTGGCGATGGCGATGGTGATGGGGGCTGCCAGGGTCAATTGGAGGGTGCGTGATTGTCAGGGTGACGAGCCAGGGGCTGGGGAAGTTTGGCAGTTGATGCCCATGATAGTGGCATGCTAGAGCCATAGCACAGTGAGGAGGGCATTTGCTCTGCATGCAGCCGGCCTGGGTTTGACCCCCCGGCACCCCACTCGCCCCCCTGAGCCCCACCAGGAGTGACCCCTGAGCACAGAGCCCTGAGCACCTCTGGGTGTGGCCCCAAACCCAATAGACATGGAAACAAAGGCAGTTGTGAGAGATTCCTCCCTGCACAGCCCTCCATCACCGCTGCCCGGCCCCCTAAGAAAGCTGGGGGCCCTGAAGCCCCCATGCCACCCTCAGGGGCTCCCTCGAGACTTTTTTGGGGTCCCAGGGTCTGAGTGCTGGGGTCCTGTGGCAGCTAGCGGGGGGGCTGGGGCCCAGGCAGTTCACTCCTTGGTGGGAGTGGGGGGCAGAGGGAGACAGGCTTGGGGTCCCCGACTGGGCCGTGGGTGGGACACGGGGATGGGAGTGAGGTAGGGAGGTGGGGGCCTGCCTCTAGCCACGGGTGGGATTATGGTGATGGGGGGCCCAGACTAGCCTGGGCCCCGTTAGGCACAGGGATGCTCAGCTAGTACCCCCGCCCCTCCCCCGGCCTCACGGACACCCCTCCTGGGCCTCCTCCAAGCCATGCCCCCACCCGCCAGGTACAACGTGAAGATGCAGGCCTTCTTCACCATCAAGCAGAAGACCGTGGCCAACGGCAACACGGTCAGCAGTGAGCTGGAGGATGGTAATGACCCCTGTTGCTCTGATGACCCTTCGGTGCCATTGCTGGGGCCAGGTAAGGCTGAGCAGACAGGAGTGGCCCCTTCCCACACACACTCGCACCCCCAGACTGCCCCCTTGAAAGGACCTTCCTGCCCGAGCGAGACTCGGCAGGAAGTGTCTCTCCTCTGGGGACGCCAGATCGGTTAGGAGGAAGGAGCCTCAGACCCCTCCTCAGGGGCCTCCCTAGGCCCCCCACTTCCAGGGATGAGGCCCGGGCCAGGTTGAGCCCCCCGCTGCGTCTCCAGTACTGACACAATTGTGAGGGTCATGACCCCGAGGACCCCAGGGAAGGCTGCCATGGAGAGACCCCCGTGAGCCCAACCCCGTGGCATACAGGCTGGAGTCCTCAGCGAGTTTGGATCCCCCCCGTGGAGGGGCCCTGGGCCCCTGATCCAGGCCCCATCCAGTGTATCCACTTCGCTGAAACTTCAGGCCCCTCTGGGAGCTGCCTGTGACCCGGCCAGTCTCTAGGTGACTGCAGTGCTGGCGGGGAGGGGTTTCAGAAAGCAGCTGGTCCCACAGGGCTCTCTGCTCTCTCCCCTATGGCTCTGGGCAAGCCCCAGTGATGGCCACTTAAACTCCTTTGTGGGGCTGGAGCCATAGCACAGCAGTAGGGCGTTTGCCTTGCATGCAGCCAGCCTGGCCGAGCTGGGTTCGATTCTTCCGCCCCTCTCAGAGAGCCTGGCAAGCTACCGAGAGTATCTCGCCCGCACGACAAAGCCTGGCAAGCTCCCTGGGACATATTCGATATGCCAAACACAGTAACAACAAGTCTCACAATGGAGACGCTACTGGGTCCGCTCGAGCAAATTGATGAACAATGGGAGGACAGTGCTACAGTGTTGGCTGGTGGAATTTGGGGTCTCAGAGGGACCCTAGGGAGCTCAGCTCTCCTTGATCCCCTTCCTGATCTCCACCAGCGTGGTGCCTTTCCTGACCCCTAAACTCAGTCGGGCCTGCTCTGCTCGTCTCTCGAGCCAGCCCGGGTCCATCTCATAAGGGCTCTGGCTGGGAGTACGCTGGTCGGGGCATGCTGGTCTGTGGGACCCCGCCATGGACTCTTAACCCCAGACACAGGGGGCTCCACACTCCCTCTCCCAGAGCCACTCCCTCTCTCAGAGGTGGGGGTCTGTATCCCAGACTCCTCCAGACCCACAGGCTGCCAGGGAAGATGTGGGCGGGGAATCCCAGACCTTGGGCCATGCCCACTTGAACGGTGCCACCCACACCCGGGGTTCCAGCAGCCGCCCAGTTTGTGGGTTCCTCCAGATCCTGTTTCTCAGCCCTTTCTGCCCCTGCCCTGGGTCTCTGCCCGCCACCTGCTGTGCAGCCAGGCCCAGGAGTGCCCCGTTTAACTCTGGCTAAGTGTGGGCTGCCTGGAGGACCCTGGGAAGAGGCAGGGAAAAGCAGGGGCAGGTCTCCCTACGGCCAGGATGGGGTGCAGCCGGGCTTCCACATGGGGTGGCTTCAGGCTCAGGCGTGCTTCCTGCTTGCCGCCACCCCCATCACAACACCCGTGGGGCAGGCTGAGGCACCCTGTGAGAGGAACATGCTACCCCAGTCTGGGAGACACCTCCCGTTACCTCCTGCTGTGCTCAGGGCTGTTTCCGGGTCAGCCCAGCCTGCTTGTAGTGGGGGACTCATCCTCCAGCTTGGTTCTGGGTTCCCTAGCAAGGGTCCCCCCCTTAAATGTCAGCACATGTTCCAAATCCGTTTCCGTCCTATTCAAGAGCTCAGGGGGCCAAGCTGAGCCCCGGGACCAAGGCTGAAGATGGACTTGGGGGCCTCGCCTCTCTCTGGCGGGTGGGCACCCAATCACCAAGACCTCCTTGTCCTCCAAGGCCCTGCTCCAGGCTGCCCTGGGTCCCAGGAGGGGGTTGGAGGAACCCGAGCTCTGAGTAGTCCTTGAGTTTCCCTGCAGGGAGCTGCCCTGAACCCCGACGGGGCGGCCTCTTGGGCATCTTGGCTGATGACCCCTTGCCCCTGCCTTAGGAACTGTGCCCCAGACGATGCCTTGACGGGCCAGGGGCCTCTTGCTGCTCCCTAAGAAGCCCCTGTCCTGTGGTAGGGACCCCGCACAGGACTCCGAGCGTAGGGGAGCCCTGACTTGCTTGCTTTAGGGCACAAGACCTCCCGCCCCTTCGCATGGGACTGAGCCTGGGAATCCGGCCCCCGGGAGAGCGGCGGCCCCTCCCAAGGCCCCCGCCTTGGGGTTCCCTGAGCAGAATCCCCGCTACTAACACCCTCCAATAACTCGCCCCGCGCCCCCCCCCCAAGAATGGCGCCCCCGACCCGGGCCTCCACCGCACGCTAATCGGATCTAGCAGCCCAGCCCGCGGCCTCTGCCTCTTAACCTCTCCTCTTCCGAATTGTAAGTAACCCGCTTGTGTCCGGGCCATAACACGCACCCCAGACGGAGCCACGCGCGTCCCCTCCATGCCTCGTGGGAGGTTGGTGGCCATCTCTGACCAGTGCATGTCCCCTCCCCATCCCCCCAGCTTGTGTCTAACCCCCACGCCTCCTGTCTGCTGAGCCTTGCTTCCTGGGGGTGAGGGCATGCGGGTGTGGGGGGTGCAGTGGTGTTTCTGAGCCCCTAACTCCTGCACGGGTGTGTGCTCCAGACTGACCCCCAGCTATTGCGGCTAAGCATAAGGGGCACCCCCGGAACTGGGTTGCAGTGCAGGGGGATGGGTCTGACTGCCTTAACAGCCCCCCACCGCAGGAGGGGAAGACTGGAGTTCCAGTTCTTAGACCCTCCTGGGGGTGCTGAGAAATATGTGTCAGCCACCCAGGACACTGGCCCCGGGGATAACTCAGAAAAGCCAGGCCTGGGAACTTGGGGGGGGGGGGGGGGGGGGGTGTGTTGAAGCGCCCCCTGGAGGCCAGAGCGAGTACAGCGCTCCCCTCCGCCCCTTATCGTAGGCAAGATGCAAGCCCCTCTGTAGGGTCTTACCGGCCTCTTTCTTTCGGGGGCCGGGAACTCTTTCTCTGTCCCCAGCTGCTCTGCAGAGAACAGTTAGATGCATATGCCCCATAGGGTAGAGGTGGTCCCCCAGAGCAGGCATCATGGGGACACGAGAGCCAGAGCAATCTGCTGTCTTCCAGGATTTTCCATCCTGGGCTTCCAGCCAGTTGGTAACGTTTCAGTGTGATCTTTGTGAATAGGGGGGCTGGTAGGTCCCCCGCTGGGCAGCAGGGAGAGCCCCCTGTCTGTGTGATGGGGCAAGGGGGCCTGCCCGGTGAGGCTGGAGTTAGCCAAGCCCCAGAAGAGGGGGGCCCCCATCTGGTGAAAGGGGGAATTTCGGCTCCTGAGTGACTCTGGGGATCCCTGAGAGCTCTGGGTGATGCCCCAAGCTGGCAGGCCCGTCTCCACTAAGGGCAGGGCCTCTGCCAAGCTGTGGGGATGAGTCAGCAAAGCGAGGGGACGCCAGTCGGCCCTGACCCCGCCTCGGGTGCTGTCCCCGTCATCAGGACCCCACGGCCAACGGGGTGTCGTGCTGGATACAGTGAAGGAGGAGCCGCAGTATAGCAAGAACCCGGTGGTGATGGTGGACGAGGTGATGAGCTCCAGCCCGCCCAAGCTCAGCTTCCCAGAGGCCGGCCTGCGCATCATGATCACCAACAAGTTCGGGCCCAGGACCCGGCTGCGGATGGCCAGCAGGATGATCATCAACGAGGTGCGAGGGCCTGAAGGGCCCAGTGAGCATGGGGAGAAGGTGAACGCGGTCCAGGCGGCGGGAGGGCCCAGGTTCTATCAGGTTGGCACCCGGGGCAGAGAGGCGGGGCAGAAGGCTTCTTGGGACTTTACACTCTGGATCCCCATCTCAGCCCCAGTTTTGTGCCTAATCTCTTCTTTGAATAAAAGATGAAATCAGCTGGAATGTCATCTGCGAGGCCACGCCCTATTCCATCTCCCCGCCCCAAGCCACGCCTCCATTTTTCGCCCCGTCCAATCCACGCCCTTATTTCCCTTTGCCCCGCCCAAGCCCCGCCCATTCCATCTCCTTGCCCCAAGCCATGCCTCGTTTCCATCTTCCGGCCCTAAACCACGCCCCATTCCCCACCCTAAGCCACGCCCCATTTCCACCCCAAGCCACGCCCCATTTCAGTTCCTCACCATTAAGCCACGCCCCATCTCCTCCCCGTCCAAGCCACGCCTCCATATATTCGCCCCGCCCCCTCCGATCTTCTGCGTTTGTGTGTACATGCATTTGTGTGTGCATGCTCGTGGGCACAGTGTCCTCTGCTGAGCGCAGGGGACTTTGTGGGGGAACTGGCTGTTGTTTGTAGAAGTCAGGTGGCACTGCTCTGGAAGGTTCTGGATTTGGAACCCTTCTGCTTTGATTACACACATAATGAGCCCTCTCTGCGGAAAGTTTATTAAGAAGGTCAACATCGCAAACTCGGGGTCACTCTGAATCATTTTGGTTGACAAAATGTAAATCGATGAGGAGCCAGAGATTTACATTTCGCAGTGGGTGGGGCACTGACCTTGCATGTGGCTGACCTCGGTTCTATCCTTGGCACCCCAAGTAGTACCCCCAGGTGTTATGAGGAGTGATCCCTGAGTGCAGAGCCAGAAGTAAGTCCTAAGTACCATCAGGTATGGGCCCCCCGAACCAGAGGGGGGGAAAAAGTGAAAATTTACTTCAGTGAAATTTCATTGCATTTTGGTCATTTTTTGTGGGCAAGATCATCGTGCCCACAGGGCATGTGGGGGGGCACACCTAGAGGAACTCAGGGTCTACCCCAGTGGTGCTCATGGAAGTGTATCGTATCGGGGATCGAACTTGGGGCTCCCATGTTCAGAGCTGTCATGCTTTAAGCTCTCTCCATCCTCCTCCTCAGCCTCTTCCATTCCAGAACTCCATGGCCACGTTTGCCAAAGCTGAAGCTGGTCCCTGGAAGTGGCACCTGTGTGTGTAGGGGGGGGGTGGGGACTGATGCCTGTTGCTTCCCATCAGACAGGAGTGGGAAGGGAAAGAGCGTCCCAGGTGTGTGGGGGCTTGAAAAGGGGGCTTACACTCTCCCTCATGCCAAGTCCCACCTGCCCTGGCTCACAGGCTGAGAGGAGGGTGCCAAGGAGACCCTTCCTCCCTCCCGTGAGCCCCTACTCAACCCTCTCCTTGGCTCGCACCTGACCCCTGGCCATGTGAGCTGGTCATGGTCATACCAGTGCGAGTGACTGGGCACCTGCAGTGTGCACACAAGTGCAAGGTTACCTGTTCTGGGGCTCACCTGTACCAGGGCTTAGCAGTACCTGGGCTTACTTATTCTGGGGCTTACCTGTTCCGGAGCTTACCTGTACTGGGGATTACCTGTACCAGGGTTTACCTGTTCTGGGACTTAGCTGTACCTGGGCTTACCTGTACCACAGCTTGCCTGTTCCGGAGCTTAACTGTACCGGGGCTTACCTGTTCTGTGGCTTACCTATCCTGGGGCTTACCTGTACCAGGGCCTCCCTGTTCCCGGGCTTACCCTTCCAGGCCCACAGTGTGATCACACCTGCTCATAGTACAGGTAATGTGTGCCAAGTCACATAACGAACATGAGGGCAGAACGGGGGCCTCAACCCAAATGAGTCTAGACTGCAAAAGTGGGGGGCTGCATTGATCCTTGGGGTCTTCTAGTCCGGCTTGTCTGCCCCTCTTTTCTATTGTTTTAGCCCCTCAATCATCCGCAGCACCCTCTGGCTGACTTGTTCTGAATCCTTCCTTGTGGCAGTTCCTTGCTCTTCCGACAGCAGTGGCCACCCCTAATTTTCTCCTTGCCTCTACACATCCGTGGGACCAGCCGTCCTCCCCGGCATGGCCAGTCCTGCCCAAGGCTGACCCTGTACCTTCTCATCATCACCCATGGAAACCTGCTTGCGGCTTCTCTCCCGGCACGGGAACCTGTCCCCTCCCTTTTTCGTGTTGTGGTCTCTGCCTCTTTGAACACAACCTGGGAGAGCCTTAGATAATTTTTCCAGGAAAAGGTTCCGGGCACCCTTCTGAGGCTAGCATTGTGACCCCCCTCCATCACAATGACTCACGGTGCTTTGAAGTCCTGTCCCCTTCTCACAGTTCCACTCTTACCCTGGTAGAGTATTTGTTTTTCACTGTGAGGATGATCTATCATCTAACTAGAGTTGATGGCAAAATATGGTCTCCGGTGGGGCCTGAGCTCCAGGCTTAGATCTATTTCTTCTTTTGGATGAAACTAAGAGTTATGGATAAATGTATATGGAAATTGTCAGTTTCTTCCTCATCCCAGACATCATCCCATGCCCAAAACTAACATAAGGCGATTAAATGACCCATTCCTCTTCCTAGAAGAAAAATACTCCATGTTCAATAGTGTCAGTGTTTGGAAATTCCATCCACCACAAGGACAGGCACATGGTCACAAAGCATAGATAGGTGCTGGGTACATAGTCACAGAGCAAGAATAGGTGCTGGGTGCAGAGTCTCAGAGCATGGATAGGTACTGGGTTCAGAGTCTCAAAGCATGAATAGGTGCTGGGTATATGGTCACAGAGTACAAGTAGGTACTGGGAGCAGAGTTTCAGAGGTGCTAGGTACAGAGTCTCAGAGCACAGGTAGGTGCTGGGTATATGGTCACAGAGTACAACAGAGTACAAGTAGGTACTGGGTGCAGAGTTTCAGAGGTGCTAGGTACAGAGTCTCAGAGCACAGGTAGGTGGTGGGTACACAGTCTCAGAGCATGGATAGGTTCTGGGTGCAGAGTCTCAGAGCACAGATAGGTGCTGGATATATGGTCATAGAGTACAGGTAGGTGCTGGGTGTGGAGTTTCAGAGCACGGATAGGTGCTGGGTATTGGTCACAGAATACAGGTAGGTGCTGGGTGCAAAGTCTCAGAGCACAGATAGGCGCTGGGTACACAGTCTCAGACCATAGATAGGTGCTGGGTGTAGAGTCTCAAAGCATAAGTTGTTGCTGGGTGCAGAGTCTCAGAGCACGGATAGGTGCTGGGTACATAATCTCAGACCATGGATAGGTGCTGGGTGTAGAGTCTCAAAGCATGAATAGTTAATGGGTGCAGAGTCTCAGAGCACGGATAGGTGCTGGGTATTGGTCACAGAGTACAGGTGGGTGCTTGGTGCAGAGTCTCAGAGCACAGATAGGTGCTGGGTGCACAGTACAGAGCACTTCCTTCGAGGCACTGTGACTGATTCTCACTCTGCCATGGCAGCAGCTGGGAGGAATCAAATTCTCCGTTGCATGATACTCCTTACCACAAGGCCGACCTAAGGTTGATCAGTTCAGGATTTTTCATGAGACCCAGATAAAGACGAGGTGGAAAAAGACAAACTGAGTCTCAGGATGGACGAAACCTCTTGACTTCCTCAATGTGGCCCCAGCCTCTCCCTGCCCAGAGACACCCGCATGCCTGGCGAGGAGCACCAGCTCCCGGCTGGGCGGGAAGGGACCAGGCTTTCTCAGCTATCGTGAGATGGGGGCGGGAAGGAAGCCAGTGGGCTTCAAGTACATTCCTGCAAGACTGGCAAACCCCAGCTCCCCTTGGGGTCCGGAACCAGCTGTCCTTTATTAACAGGAAATGCGCATTCGAGCCACACTTAAGTAATACTAAGTCACACTTAGGTAATCCGACCAGAATACTAACATGAAGTGTGATAATATCAGGCGTTAAGAAGGATGCAGAACCGTTGCGACTGGTGCACGTGTGAAATGGTTCAACGTAGCCGCCTCATGTACGACACCTGTACACCTAGATATGCACCCTTGGGAAAGGAGTATATTTGTCCACAAGAAACCCGTATGTGTACAAATGTCCATAGCACCTTGCCTCATACTAACAGAGAAACGGGAAGCACCCCAGCTGCCTTTCCAAGCACCCCAGAAGATGCAGTGTGCATTACTCGTGTTATGGAATACCACACAGCCTTCCCCAACCCCTCCCCACACACATATACACAAAAGACAAACTACTGCATGAATGAATTGCACAACTGTTTGGTTGAGGAAAATAAGCCAAGCAGAAAAAAAATCCGTGAGATTTGAATCCATTTCTATAAAATTCAAGTTCTGGAAGAACCGATGATTATAAATGTTCGAGCGGTACTTACCCTGTTGGCCTCTGGAGCGCCTGATCTGGGACAGACGTGCTGCGGCTGGGGGCCGGGGTTGTTCTGCTTCTTCACGTGGACAGTCTCTGAGCTGTGTCCTTAGTGCCCCGTCGTTAAGATGCCTAAAGGAAACAGGCAGTGCCCCCTGCAGGGTGCCAAGGTGGTCTTGGGGTGGGTGATGGATGTCTGCTGGGAGAGCTGGGATGTATACCTCAACATCCGGGGTGTGGCTGGGGTGTCAGGTGAGCACTGAGAGAGGAGCCCCCATGCCCGTCCGTGGCGGGGGTCAGGGCCTGCTCGCTCGTCCTCTGCACATGGGAAGCCGGCTCACAGGCCCGGGGTCCGTCTCGCCCCCACAGCGGCAAAGGCTCATCAACTCGGCCAACAGCGTGGGCAACAAACCGCTCCAAAACGGGAGGCACGAGAACATGGAGAACGGGAACGTGCCGGTGGAAAACGCCGAGGACCCCCCGCGGGAACAGGAGCCGGCGCCGCCTGCACCACAGCCGCCACCCGCGGAGCCCGAGCCGGGCGAGGTGGCCTTCCTGTCACCCTTCTCCATGCCTGGTGAGTCTGGGGTCCCGGGCCTCAGGCTCTCTGCTGGGGGAGGGTGAAGCCCAGGGACCCCCCATGCTTGGGAGATGCTGGGGGAACACGGCCTGCACGGTGTCAGACACAGGCCTGCAGAACGGGGCCAGCAGCCCTGCACACACACACACACACACACACATACACACACACACACACACGCACGCATGCACGCACGCAGTGCACGCACACAGGCGCACACACACACATACACGCACACACACACGCACATACACATACATGCACACACGCACAGCACACACGCACACACACACCTACACATACACACGTGCACACACATACATGTACACATGCACACACACATACATGCACACACGCATGCACACACACGCACACGCATGCACACATACACGTACACATGCACGCACACACGCACGCACATACATGTACACACGCACACACACGCACATACATGTACACACGCACGCACACACGCACAGCACACATGCCCGTGTGCACACGTGCGCACACACATATGCGCGTGCACACATACACGCGCGCGCACACACACAGTATGCATGCCCGCATGTGCACACACACACACACACACCACACCCTGCGACTGTTTTCTGCCTGTGCTCAGACTTTCGGTGTTCCACACGGCCAGGCTCTCTGGTCCATGCACAGCCCACGGGCTGGGACGTAGAATGGAAGACCACCAGTGACCCTCGGATAGTTCCGTCTCACACCTTTGAGGCTACCTCCCTCCCCTCCCCACATCGACTCAGGCTTGGGTGCATCTTCCTGACTGGCCTCTGGCCTCTAGGACCCAGTGCCCTTGGGGCTGGTGGCTCCTCACTGGCCTTCCCTCGGGCCTTTGCCGTCTCCCGCCCTCTTCTCCAGCCCTGCCAGCCGCAGCCTCCCGGTTCGCCAGGGCTCCCCTGCCCATGGGCCTTTGCACATGCCTCGGTTGTGTGGGGTTTCTCTCATCTAAAGGCCTCGGCTTCCGTGGCCCGCCCCTGGGTGGCACCGTCCTGTTGTTTGTCTGAATGGGGACGTCTCCAAACTGTGGGCACTATGAGGGCAGCCTTCTTAGCTGCTGGTCATAGCTGTGGTGGTCCAGTCTGTGCCCATGACTGAGCTCAGGGGCCCCATAGCCAGGTCCCGCGCCAGCTGTCTGCTGCTGTCTCTACCCACCTTTCCACACTAGTCTGAGTACAGGAGAGATGCCAGGGCAGGAAGGGTCAGCACTGACCTTGGTCTGCACAACCTGGGTCTTCAGGATCAGAGGCCGATGCTAATCGGGGAGACCCCGGTTCCCCTCGGGCTGCACAGTGTCCAGAGTCCGTGTCTCTCCTGCCTCCCCCCGTGGCCCGGGGAGCAGACCCCACCAGGAGCACTGTCTTCCTGGGGCATCCCAGCTCATCTCCGGAGCCCGCTGGGTAGGTCTCAGGAACTGGGGTCTGGGAGCCTACCCCTCGGCCTTGGGAGTGAGGGCCCTCGGGAAGGGGCCCTGGGACCCCAGAGGATTGGTCTTCCTGGGCCCCTGGAGTGGCAGATCTGGGAGGGTGGCGTGTGCACCGAGAGAGCCACCCTCACCTCCACTCACCCGAGTCCCCCTGTGTTTCTGGGCAGCCACTGCCAAAACCCCCCTGAACCACCTGCCAGCCCAGCTCCTCCCCGAGTCCACGGCGGGTCAGGGTGGGCATTTGGCTGTGTCCCCAAAGGAGGTCGGGGTCCTTGGGACCTGGGAGTCAGATGCCAGCCAGGGTGGGGCGCAGCCGTCGTCCAGTGGGTGGGTGATGGATCTTGGGGGGGGCACTGCCCGGGGCGTGTCCTGTCCTCCTGCCCCAGGGGTGGGGAAGGGCCTGGCAGAAGCCCCCCCCGCCCCCCGTCACGGGGGAGACCCCCATGGCTGTCCCCCCAACTCCCGCCAGGAGGCGCTGTTGGTGGCTCTTCTGTCAGCCTGTTCCGTGCATGTCCCTGAAAGCTGGGGTTCACAGGGCGCTCATTGTGTCTTCTGCATCTCTACCGATGTCTCGCAGTGGACCCCGGAGCCCAGGCAGTGGCCACTGGTACCTGGAGAGGGCCAGAGGGGCTCCGGGGGTGGGGGGCTGAGCACTGTCCTGGGGGCCGCTCCAGCCAGAGCTCGGGACTGCCCCCTGCCTCCTCCCAGCCCAGGGCTTGGCTCTGGGGGCTGCAGGAACAGGCTGGGCTTCCTGTGGGAGAGTCCCTTTGTGTTTTCCCGGATGTGGCTCAGGGAAACCCCGGTGCCCCCCGCTGTGTGGGGCAAAGGGGTGGGAAGGGAGCCAGGGCCCAGCACCAGGCGGAATTCAGAGCCTGGGAGGAAGCGTTAGGGTCCAGCCCTTCTGCCCTGCTCACCACGTCCTCCGCGCCCCACTCAGTTTACCGGTGGCTTCACTGGGTGCCAGGGGTGAGGAGGGGAGGGAAGGAGGGCAGGGCAGGTGGGGGAGGGGGAGTTGCGTCCGTGTGGTCCTTGCCATAGGCTGGGACTCAGCTTCGAGTCCAGCAGTCCTGGGTTCAGCCCACCACAGCAGCTTGCCCCCTTGAACCTCAGTTCCTCTGTGGGCACATGGGGTGCTTTTCCTCCAGACAGCCCTGAGCACTGATGTCAGCAGCACAAGTGAGTGTGTATGGGGCTGGAACCTTGCCGTGCCTCTCTGATGCAGTGCCCCCCCCCCCCCCTTCCCATCTCTCCCCTCTCCGCATTCCAAGTGGCTTCTTGGAAAAAGGTCCCGGGGCCAGAATCCTGGAGTTGGCTCTGCACTGCGGGAGTGCACGGCTCCCCAGGCTGAGAGGCTGGATCTGTGTCTAGTGCGCACAGAGAGGATGCTTTGGTCCTCGGCCCTTGGTGTTCCAGATGGCCTGGGTTTAGGCTGCTGCCCTCTGGAACTCGCGGGCTTGGGGACCAAATCCCAGCCAAGATCTCCAGCCTCTGCTCGACACAGCTCGGAAGGCAGCACTGCATCCTCTTGCCTGGCCCAGAGGCAGGCAGGCCAGCCCCCATGCTGGGCCCCCGAGGCCGGTGAGGAGTCCTGGGGATGTGGGGGAAAAGAGGACGGGAGGGAAGGACTTCAGGGAGCCAGGACAGAGGTTAAGGCACTTGCCTTGCATGTGGCTGATCCTTGTTCGATCCCTGGCTATGGTTGCCTGAGCCCCGCCAGGATTGGCCCTTAACACAGAGCCAGGAGCCCTGCGCATGACCGGTGTGGCCCCAAACCTGCCTCCAAATGTTGATTCTAAAGTTTATTCACTCAAGAAAGCAGAAAAGGAAAGATTCTCCAGAAGCATTTTCTGTTCATGATATAAAAGACTCTCATCGTCCTCTGGCAGATAGTCCAGGGGTGTGTTTTTGGCATGAGGTGATCTCTCATAATGTTTGGCAAGGGTTCCAACATCATTCTTGAAGATCAAGTAGTCTTTCCAAGAAATGGTGCTAGGAATACTAAATAACCCTTTTCTCCCCTTTATAAAAGGAAGTTAGGGGGCTGGAGCAATAGCACAGTGGGTAGGGCCGTTTGCCTTGCATGCAACTGACCCGGGTTCGATTCCCAGCATCCCATATGGTCCCCCGAGCTCCACCAGGAGTAATTCTTGAGTGCAGAGCCAGGAGTGACAAAAAAAAGGAAGTTATATTCCCAGTGTGGATAAAAGTTAAGCGTAAGATGGATCTAAGTATAAAACCTTCACAGGTGAAATTCTTAGAAGAAAGCATAGGTGTGAATGTGTACTGCCTTGGATTAGCCCATGATTTCTTAAACGTTAAAAAAATAAACATTAGTATCCAAGAAAAACCTAACTTGAGTGTCATCAAAAGTAAATCTTGTTTTTTTTTTCTTGTTTTGTGATTCATCAGCCACTGTGAAGTGAAGAAACAACTCATAGAATAGGAGAAAACATTTGTAAATCATGTTTCTGAAAAAAAAAAGGCTCTAATGCCAGAATATACACAGAACCCTTAATATGTTGACACATCCAAATTGTAAATTGTGCTGAAGGGGAATCATTCTAGCACCATGGTAAAGTATGCTGTTAGGACAAGCACCAGGGACTCAGAAACACGGATTCTTGGGTCTCGCCCAATTCCAGGCCTGCTGGCTCGGGAGGGTCCGCCAAGCTTGTGAGAGGCAAAATCCACAGCCTTTTCCTTCCTGGTCATAGGCAAAGCCGGTGTCCCTCTTTCTTGAGACTCCTTTAGCACAGAGAACTCTTTGAGTCCCCGAAAATGTGGAGGGTTGCCCCCCATGCCGTGGAGTTCTCTGTGATGTCAGTTGTGAGGGATGAGGGCTCCAGCTTAGCTCAGCTCTGACGCTGCTTACCCAGAGGTGATGGCAGAGCCACAGGGGAACAGCTCAGCACCAGGAGTCCACCTTCTCAATGCGTGCACACACACATACACACACCCAGCACACACCCAGCACACACCCAGCACACACCCATCACACACACATTACACACCCGGCACACACACATACACACATACACAGCACACACAGCACACACAACATCACATACCCAGCATACACACAGCATACACACACAGCACACACACCTACACACACACCTACACACACATATAGCACACACACATACATATACCCAGTATACAAACACAGCACACACACACCTACACACACACAGCATACACACACATACACATACAGCACACACACATACACACACAGCACACATGCACACACCCAGTACACACACATGTACACACTCCCAGCATACACACATCACACACCCAGCACACACACACAAACACATACACACAGCATACACACATACATACACACAGCACAAACACAGCATGCACACACATACACAGCACACACATAGCACACACACTTATATATACACAGCACACATACATACACACAGCACACACACAGCGCACACACACATACACAGCACACACACATATACAAACACATAAACCCAGCACACACATGCACATACACACACAGAACACACACACACACACAGAACACACA